GTTCAGGGTCTCACTACTAGATCAGATTCCTACTGATTCACCTGTTTACAGCCTCCCAAGAGCTGGGATTACAGGTACACATCACCATGCCCATTCTCAACTGCCCTCTCAGCATGCCCTGGGAGCAGGGCTGGCACAGTAGGGCTGGGGATCGAACCCCTAGCCCCTGAGCCTGCTTGCAGGTTTAATTTTTTAACATTAAAAAAATTTAATGTTATTGGTACAAGTTAAATATCTATAGTGATTCCAATGATCATAGGGAATTGTACTAATGTATAGTATATCTTGATTCTTCTTTTTTCCTAATTCCCTCCCCTTCTTTCAACTGTTCTGCACCTCCTTATTTACAAAGGTTTGTTTCTACTTATCCTTCATTTTTTTCATTTTTTTCCTTTTCCCTTCCTTCCCCCCTCCATTGCTCCCTAGTTCACCTTTCCTTTTGTACAATTTCTTCCTATTTCATAATGTCTATTATACATTTGGTCCTTATATACTTTCAGTTTCTCACTCCAGAGAGACAATGCAATATTTGCATATATGTGTCCAGCGAATATGGTTTAAAGTGCGTCCAGTTTTGCAGAGTCGTTGTTTTCCAATTTTTAATTACTAAATATTTGGGGGAAGATACCGCAAGACTTTCATGGACTGACTGCTGGTTCCCCACACATTTATATGCTAAACTCTAAATATCCAAAGTAACTGTATTAAGAGGTGAGGCCTCTGGGGGGCGCTAGGTGTTGAGAGTGAAGCGCTCGTGCGAGGGTTTAGTTTCTTTATACAACAGACTCCAGAGCGATCACTCGCTGCGTGATGTGTCACGTGAACTCATAGGTTGCTCCCTCCATGGGAAGCGTCCCTCACCAGGACTAATTTCCTAGCACCTATGTCTTGCACTTCGTAGCTCCAGGAACTGTGAGAAACAAATTTCTGTTGTTGATAAGTTATTCAGCCATTCAGCCTATGAGAATTTGTTATAGCAGCATGAATAAACTGAGGTAGCCACTACAAAATCCTACTTCTGCTGAAATTTTATTGATCAATATTAGCACCTACCACTGGATGCTGCAAAAGGTGATTATTACTGTGGCGTTCGAGTAGCAGTTTCCTATTTTTGCTAATCCTTCCATATTTTTAGTAGGGAAAATTTTATAAGGACGTCTTGCCCCTTCTCTGTTTTTACAATTTCATTTATTGATTCATTTGTTTATGTTAGCATACTTATTTAGCTCTTTGGTTTACAATTCAATATTACTATTTCATTTTTCAAATTGCTGTCATTTTGGCTGTTTGATTTTGTTCAGATTACATCTTCTGGACTTTCAAAAGACCCTGATCTTTGATTTATTTCTTATCATCCTTATACTTTCTAACATCAAAAACTATCCTAATCATCTCATATTTTTCTTCACCCAGCCCTGGAAGAAACCAGCTTTATTAAGAATTGTATTGCTTATTACTGAAAAATAACATTTAAAAATAAAGCTCATTGCTGCTGGTGATACTTCTAGTAGCTTTTAGTGTGTAAAACTAAGGAATACTATATATCCCAACTTATACCTACAAACATATCTATATTTACTTCTTTTTCTCTTATGTTGTCAGGTATTAAAAATCATGGTCACTTTATAATACTTCCATCTCTAATTTAGTACCACATGGGTCATTTTGGCAACCACTCTTTCCTTGCATGTAACTTCTTTTGACAGAAACCCAGATGTCATTGTCTACAACATGTATTTATTGGCCTCAATTTAATATGAAAATAAATAAATTTCAAAATTACTAGCTCGTACCTCTTGTTATGGTTTATATCTGGGTGTCTCTCCAAAGCCTCGAGTGTCTATACTATGGGTGGGGCTTTGGGCAGGTGAAGGATTATGGCATCTGTATCCCTGACTTGCTCTTAGGAAGGGGTGTGGTGGGAAGTGGCGGGTTTTGAAGTGCGTGACCCTGAAGGCTGCGTCCCCTTCCAGCTCCTCGCTTCACTGTCTGCTTTCCCTCTGCTGTAACAGGAGATGTTTCTCTTCTGCCATGCCCCTCTTGCATGCAATCTTGTCTTGGAATGAGCCAATAGTAGACTGTAAACAAAATAAATGTTTCTTCCTTTAAACTGTGACTGTTGGGTGTTGTAGCTCGGCAACAAGAAAAGTGACTGAGACAGCTCAGTAAGAGGCAGATCTCAGAGATATATTCTGCTGCTAGTTCCTAGGTCACAGCTAACCTGACACTTTTTTTTATAAATAGTTGTATCAGAATGAAGCAGTGTTCGTTTGTTTATTTGTCTGGAATTGATCCTGTGCTTCAACAGCAGGGTTTGGCAGTTGTGAGTAAGATCATAGGGCCCATCCCACCTAACGTATTTTCTACCTAGCCTTTTACTGAAAAAGTTTGTCAACCCATCAAACCAGAACACACTATTAGTGTAGGTCTCTTTCTGTCTATAGCTATAAAGTGTCCAGTCACATAACTGCTGACCAAAGTTACACACTTCGGCTCATTTCTTCCCCATCTCCTCTAGTGCGATAAGGAGATTTCACCTCTCTGACAGCTAAATTCCTCATAATCTGCTTCCCATTTCTCCACATGTCCAGTTTGATTTTGTGTACATTAAAGTGCAGTGAAATTCCCTCTTTGTGATGCAAATCCCTATGAGATTTGATAAAGTCAGTGAAGCATTATCTACAGCCACTGATCTTTCTCACTCCCCAAGTCCCTGAATGCTTCACCCCTTTGCTATTGGCAACCATTATACCTCTTTTTTATAGTTCTGCCTTTGTGTCATACAAATCTAATAGAATAAAACATATGTCCTCTAACTCTGACTTCTTTCACTTAGAGGACTGCATTTAAGATTTCGTGTGTTGCTGTGCTAAAATATTTATTGTGTATTCCTTTACTGAAAATGTTTACTAACCTTATCATGACGAGTAGAATAGAAAGGAGAAGAGTGTGGATGATATGTTAGCAATTTAATACGGTAAGTCAATGAAAAAAATAACTGTAGTTCAATAATTTTGAATTTGAGTTATTGACAGAATGTTTTACCTTAATAAAAATAAGGCAACCCTTCAAGAGTTTTTTTTTTTTGAATGGCAACAGACATTTATACAACTTACCACTATGTGAATCTAGAATAATGCTCATTAAGTAGTTATGAGTTGACTTAATGGTGACTCCTATCAAAGTGGCAACTCCACCAGTTCAAATTTTTAACTGGAAGGCATTCAGTGGTAAGAATCAGGATGCAAACATAGAAAAAAAAATAAGAGTTTCTATATCATTTTCCTGAATGATTTTCTCTATTTGTGTAAGGGATTATTTATTTATTTATTTTTATTTTTTTAAATGGTCAATTCTTTATTAGTATACATGTCATGACGATGGGCTTAGATGGTTAACACAGGAATAAATAACAGTTAATTCAAAAGAAGCATAATAAAATGAGATCAAAGAGCCCTGATCAAAAGGAATACTTATAATTTTCAGCTGAGAAGTGTAAAAATTCTATACATACATAACACTAGGAATGTACAGTATTACTGGAAAAAGTGAGTGATTCACAGTCATAAGAAATTATTTTAATAGTAGTATGTACTTTTCCTTTTTGTAGTTATACATAACATACATATGGTTTCTACCTTATACAAAACAAAGTAGAAAACTAAATTTTATCACATTTATCCCAAACAGTATGCCCCAGTTAATCTGGTCCAAAATATTCAGTTCTACAGATAGGCCATGGTATTAAATGCAAGGTTATGATAACAGTATTAAGAAAGGCATATATTTCCAGAAATTATGTTAAATACACAAATATCAATTCTATAAATAACAAAAATCATCACAAAAATGTTAGGTTATAACATTTCCAAATTCTTGTTTTAAGTGTTTTAGATATATGTTGCTTGAACAGTTAGTTTGGTTACAGTTTTCAACTAGCAAACCATTACCCTACAAGAGGACTAAACTAAACTACAGTGGCCGGGGAGATGGCTCAGTAGAATAAGCACTTGCCTGGCAAGTGCAAGGGCCTGAGTTCAATCCCCGGTTCCGCAAAAAAATAAATAAATAAATAAATAAATAAATATAAACTAAACTACAGTGCTGCACAAAGTTAAGGGATTATTTAAAAGTCTAACAGTAGAATAATTCCTTTATACCTTTTTTTTTAAGATAATATATAGTGATTGTCAATTTTATGTGTCCATTTTGCTAGGTCCAGGAGTGACCTGAAAGCTGGCAAAACATTTCTCAGTGCATCTTTCTGGAGGGGGTTAATGTCTGGATCAGCATGCTGAATGCAGAAGAGCCACCCTCACCAGTATGGGGTATCACAATCTGGTAAGGACCCAAACAAACCTGAAGAGCAAAGTCTCTTTTACCCCATTAGCTAGGTTATCCATCTCCTCCAGCTCTCAGACCCTGGAAATCTAGAGCATTCAGGCCCCGGGAATTACAACTGTGCCCTTCCACCCCTTGTCATCATAGTTTGGCTCCTTTGGTATTCAGCCCTTCGGATTCTCCTAGCTTTCCTGAATCTCTGGCTTGCACGCAACCTATTGTCAGTCTCTGTAACTGCACCAGCCAATTACCATATAATAAATCTCCTCCTATATCTACATGTATGTATTCCTATTGGTTCTGTTTCTGATAGAAAGGAAGTAGAAGTAACCACGTTATCCCACATCTTCTAGAACAAAACACTAGTAACCTGTTGGGTAATTTCTTCAGGATTCCTTAAATAAATATAGACAAAGATATACATGTAGATGCAGCTATGTTACAATACTCTGCTATGGACTACTTTTAAAATACTACAATAGCCCCGCCTCGCTCCTCCCGGGTCTCAGCCGGGCCTCCGGCCAGGGCACGGCGTTCCGGCGAGTCAGCTGTTCGCCCCAGGCACGGAGGCGGAAGCCCGTGAGCGAGGGGAGGAGCTTCGCGCTGGGTGAACGCCCGCCCTACGTGCTCGTCCGCCTCGCGACCGCTGCGCGCGAGCCCAGTGTCCCCGCGGCGGGTGGCGGCTGCGGCGTCTGTGCAACGCGAGGGGGCGGAGGGAGCCCGCGGCGGCGGCCACAGCGAAATGGCGGAGACCGTGGCGGACACCCGGAGACTCATCACTAAGCCGCAGAACCTGAATGACGCCTACGGGCCGCCCAGCAACTTCCTGGAGATCGATGTGAGCAACCCGCAGACGGTGGGGGTCGGCCAGGGCCGCTTCACCACCTACGAGATCAGGGTCAAGACAAATCTTCCTATTTTCAAACTAAAGGAATCTACTGTTAGAAGAAGATACAGCGACTTTGAATGGCTCCGAAGTGAATTAGAAAGAGAGAGCAAGGTTGTAGTTCCCCCGCTCCCTGGGAAGGCATTTTTGCGTCAACTTCCTTTTAGAGGAGATGATGGAATGTTTGATGACAATTTTATTGAGGAAAGGAAGCAAGGCCTGGAGCAATTTATAAACAAGGTCGCTGGTCATCCTCTGGCACAGAATGAACGTTGGCTTCACATGTTTTTACAGGATGAAATAATAGATAAAAGCTATACTCCATCTAAGACATGCTTGAAATTTGGCAAAGGCAAAAATGTGGCTATCCATGTTTCATATGCACCATTGAAGACGTTCTAACTACCCTTTAGCATGCTGCACAGAAACTATGACATGCCTTCAGTATAGTAGCACTCGTGCACAGTTTTGTTTGGCGGTTGACAAGTTAATTTGCTTTAGTGAAAATCTCTCATTCCAGCCTTTCTCTATAAATAGCTCTTCCTTGCTGTTTTAATGTGGTATGTATACACTATAGCCTCACAGACCTTCCCATATAAGCTGCAGTGTCCTAACTAAATTTTCTGACTTAGTCTTATTTGCAGTTTTTGTGTCATGTTTGCTTCTTCAATCATATTATGTAGAATAACCTCCCCCCATGTATAATGTTACTTGATCTAATTTATGTGTAGGAGCAGTACACTGTTCGTTTTCAGTGCCGCACATGAAAGATACACACTTGTGTGCAGAGCATATTTTCCTTCCGGCCTATAATTCCCTTCATATGGAAAATTAATGATGGAAATCTTTATATTCTATATAAAAACAAAGTCATGTTTATATACTAAAATCATTTGTCTAAAAGTTTAAGTTGTTTTCAAATAAAAATGCATTTCTGATTAAAAAAACTACAATATATAATCTATCATTTTTAAGTAATTTTTTGTATTATTTTTCATGATTGCATAACTTTCTATTACATAATTATGATTTTTATATATAATTAATTCATTTTGATATTAATGTGTTATGGGTCACTCAGAATAGGAACCAGATCAGCCAGGTTGGAATTTGGAAAGCCGTTTATTACTGAGCTCAGGGCCCCCCTGTCTGCTCTCAGCAGGAGAGGACCGAAAGGCGGCAGCCCAGGAAGCAGGAAGAGGTTTTAAACCCTGGAACCACATTGAGTTTGATAAGCAAATTTATTGAATGACCACATTCAGTTTGGTAAACAGACTCATTGTCTGACACAAAATAATGCTTTCAGAATGATTGGGACCACAACTCAAACTACATTTCTGGGGCTTTTGTTTCAGTTTCTGGCTAATTTGCACCTGAGTACCTGCTGGCAGCCTTGCATAGCCTGGAGGTTACAAGAATTTAAAGCCTATTTAATTTTTTTTGAAGTCATCTCTGTAAGCTAACTTTGGTAACAGGAATTGGTGAGGGTTATAGGAATTTTATCTTAGCAAAGAGCAAGAAACAGCCACTAGTTACTAAACAACTTAGAACAGTGGTGAGTATACATTTACAACAGAAAGCACAAGATTTATATTTATAATCTAAAACGTGAGTTGACTCATTACAAATGTAGATGAGGGCACAATGCTCAGTGCTAAAAAAAATGATACACTGTTCTATGTGCAAATTTTTTGATGGAACCTGGGATTGAATTCAGGCCCTTGAGCCTGCCAGGGAAGTGCTTATTCTGCTGAGCCATCTCCCTGGTCCCAGATTAAAGCTATCTTTTATTTATTTATTTGTGTGTGTGTGTGTGTGTGTGTGTGTGTGTGTGTGTGTGTGTGGTACTGGGGATTGAACTCAGCACTTATTCTACTGAGCTATCACCCTGACCCCTCACCCCGACCCCTTTTATTCTTCAGTATTTTCCTAGCTTAAGTCTACCTAAGCAGTATTATTAATAATGCATCCTCATTTCTGAATTCTATCTGGTTTTTCTTACTTTGATGAAATATTTGGTTATTTATCTAGTTGCTAAATTAAGAAAAAATATATTAGCTTTTCCTCTTGTGTACTGTTTCTGAGAGCCATCCATACCTCTATATTCTCAGTATTGCTTCTGGTATATTTCACTTTTAGGCATGCATCAAATAGCCTCCTAATTGTTCTACTTGACGGTGATTTTACACAAATCTAACTAGTCACCTTATTACAGCTAGAAACTTTCTAAATGAGAATACATTTCCTGATATTTTGTTTTGCTATGGCAACAGAAACACCAAAATGACACCCAGGATTTGGGAGTTGATTTATTTATGTCAATGGGCACTGATTGGGATTATTCTCTGGTGGTCTAGGGTTTACATGGGATAAGCAAGCAGGAAGTACAGAGGCAGAATAGCTTGTCAATTGGTGATTGGTTGTTACAATATGCATCATACTGACCCACAATGCATCACAGTTACCAGCCTATCCTAAGAAGCAAAAGTAACAAGAACTGTAACCAGAACTATCACCTGGGCAAGTAACAATCTGATGTTTACTACCTGGGGGTGGACATCTTCTGTTACAGTTTAAAACTGGTTAATGTCTTCCTTTTTGGGGCAGAATTCTGCAGCAGGACATTTGAAACTCCAGGCTGTAGTCACTATTTCTCCCTAAGCCTTATTCAGACATTTCTGCTCCTATACTGCACATACCAAACATTCCAAAATATTAGTAGGGCTCTATATACCATATTTCTTTGTTTTTTTAATATATGGTATAAAGTCTGAAATCATATCTCTTTATTAATGATCTCTTAGCATCTAGTAAAATCAAGAAGATTTTGAATACCCCAAGCCCAAGTTCTCTTCATTCTCTTCCTTCTCTGCTCTAGCAAATACATTCAGGTCCTTAGCAAGCACCTGTTCTATCTTGGGGACTTGGAACACACTTGTTTATTGCTAAGTTCCTGGCTCCAGTTCCATGGAAGTTTGCAAAATTTACTATCTCGAGTGAGATGATCACTTTCTCAAGTAGGAAGCAGTGGTCATATTACCTGCTTGTTCCTTACATAGCTTGAACCCTGCAGCCTCTGGTTGCTGTTTATTCCCAAGCACCACCTTCCCACATGGCCCTGAACAATGCATGGTGTTGCCTTCCATGTGATGTGAATGCTTGTGATTAACAGATCTTACCTGTCCAGAATAGTGTGCCATGTTTCTAGCCATCCCCAGTAGGCCAGGGCAATAATCCCTTCCTTACCAATGGGATAAAAAAAAAAAAAGAAGTGAATAAAACATGTATTTGTTATAATTTTTGTCTTGGAACGAAGTTATTTATCTTCTTTAAAATTCTAGTTCAGGGCTTGGAAGATAGCTCAGAGGTCTAAGCACCTGCCTCTCAAGCTTAAAAGCCTGAGTTTAATCCCTGGTACCACATGCTATGCTGACCTGGTGCCAAGCTGACTACCGAAACTGGGCATGGTGGCACATGCCTGTAATTCCAGCACTGGGGAGACTGAGACAGGAGGACCACTATGAATCCGAGCTGCATAGTGAGACCCTCTACCAGATCAATAAATCAAAAATTAAAAATTCTAGTTCACCAGTGTGACTCAGTACTGTGAATAAAATGCCTTGTCTCTTTTAAAAATCCAATCTCTGCACCTTAATTAAATTTTAGAGTTTTTTCATGCCTGATTGTCATACTGTATCTACCTTAGAAGATTTTATCAGAGGAGGAGAATGTGGCCATCTCCTCACTTCACGCCGGTTTATCTTTCTTGACAGCACTCTGTCATGAGCCTGCTGTGTAAATTTCATGATTTGAAATCTCTGGGAGATACGGAGGCACACAAAATATTTAACCCAAAAGGAGCACATGTAACTTGGTGTTTGAGGTGCTCTAGGTTTGATAAATGGCCAGTATTTATAAATTTTTCCTTGGATATTTTTGTAGATTTCTCCAGTACACTTCTGTCATAGCCTGCTTTTCATCACTCTAAGCAAATGTCTGAGGTAATCAATTTATAAAGAGAAAAGGATTATTTCAGCTCAGATTTTGAAGTTTCAAGCTCATGATTGGTTAGTTCTTTTGTTTGTGCCTAGAACAAGGTGACCGACCTCACAGCAGCAAGTTTGTGGAGAAATAAAACTGTTCACCTCGCAGCCAGAGAGTGAAAGAGAGGAAGAAAGGGAGACACCAAATTTCCCACCAGCCCCTTCAGGTGCGAAGTTCTGATAACCCAAGAATGCCCACAAGGTTCTGACTCTTACAGGTTCTAACATTTGCAAACAACAGCACCCCACAGGTTGCGTCTTTAATAAAGGTGCCTGCAAGGGACATTTAAAACCCAAATAATAGCATTTCTTAAAAAACACCCTGCGAATTCTGCTTTTTATGGATGAGGAGCATTTCTCTGTTTACCTACCTGCCTTCCTGTCTCCCAGCAACTTCTTCATGAGAGACCTTCAATTTTATTTTGCTATAAGCTCCTTGATCCTGACTGCAAAACCTCTTGGAAAGCGCAATTTCCCGAAATTACCTATCTTGCTGTCTTCAAAGCCTAGAACTCACCATCAGAATCATGTATCTCTGACTTAGCACTGATAGAAAATATAGTTATCTCATTACTCTGCAAATCTGGGTTTAGATTTTGAATTTCTCAGGAATGAACCAAATTTCTAATGTTTATGCTTTGTAAACTTAAGTAGACAAACATCAAATTCTCTGAGCAAAACCTTGGACAATTCACTAGCTGTGATGTGAAGCACCTTGTGCCTTACCCAAAGAATAGGTTAGGTAAAGTGCCAAGGTATTTGGATAAGTTATCCATAAGATATCCTTTTTCTTAGGTTTTTTCTTTAGCTGTTTACATCCTTAAGTAAGAAATCGATGACTGCAAAAGTATTTTTCACTAGTTAGTTTGCAGTTCTATGTAGATTACTTAGCAAGATACTTTGGAATATGAGGCAGATGGCCCATATGGCTCTGTTTTCCTTTAGTATCTGACATAAAACAGAAGCAGATGAAGGTCTATTTGAACAGCCTGCTATGTTTTGAATTTAAATTTTATTTTATATAACATATTTTCTACAGTTTTAAGTAAAGGAAATTAATTGCTGACTTAATAAACCAATGATTTTTCAGTCCCCTCAATAATTTGTTTTAAAACATGTTGAATATATGTTTGTTAAGGCCATTCATAGTCATAATGGAAATAGTAAGGTTTTATGTAAATTCTGTGTCTTAGAATCATTTAAAAATAAATTACTATTTCAGTAATTTTTGAGATGGTTCTTTAAAACAGGTTGGATCTTGTTAGGCATTTTAATTTCTATGCTTTGGTGACAACATCTAAGAAAAGATGTTCTCCTTTATCATAAAATGACACTGTCTCTTGAATGTGAGCCTTTACA